GGCAGAAGGTCGGTGTGGCCAGTACACCCAGTGATCAATTAACAGCATTTAAACCCATAATACCCTTCCCCCAAGTAAACCTATTCTGTAGACCAATCCAAGCCCCTTAGTAACATTGGCTGGGATCCTCATGGGGTAGCTAGGTGGTGCATCGGACAAAGCACTGGGCTTGTAGTAAGAAAGATCTGAGTTCAAATTTGGCCTCAGACACGTACTAACTGTGTGACCCTGGCAAGTCTCTTAAACCTGTTTGCCTCAGTTTCCTCAGCTGTAAATTGAACTGGAGAAAGAAATGTCAAGCCACTCTAACATCTTTGCCAAGAAAACACTTAATGGGGTCATAAAGAGCAGGACACAACTAAATGACAAAATGTTTTAATGGATATGTCAGATTCTCAACTCTCTTACCTTCTTTGGGCAGAAGCAAGAGCCCTCCCCTCTCTCCCTGATCTACCCCTCTGCCTTCAGCCAAATGGACACATTGCTGCTACTTCACCTTGTTTGACCACAGCCCCTCACTCAAACATCTGCCATGTCTCTTCCTCACTCTCCACTACACAGACTTTTCCAGTGCTGCCTGGGTTACTAAGTAGCTCAGCAGAGCTCAGAAGCCTTCATTCTGCCTTGCTCCGTGAAAGGATACCTCTCAGCCCGTCTCAAGCCCAGCTCTGACTCCAGCTCTATTCCTTCCCTAACCCCTGGCAGGGGCTCCCAAGGGTTCAGTGACCTAGCTATGCCACATCTCCCATGGCCCTGGCTGTTAATAATTCACAGCCTCAACATCCAGACAGGGACTAAGGTTCCTGGCAGCAAGTTAGTAGGGGGTGTTGTATGGATAAGGAGCAAGGCATCTGCCCTATACCCCTAGCAATGATACACAGGCAAGATGTCCCTCGCATTTTCATATCCTTTCCCCTTCTATGTCCTCTCTTGCAAAGACAAATCCTTGATACCCATGGAGGGGCAAAAATAGGGATGAGGGCCCCTTGGGAAATCAAGGACTCTGAATCTCCAGGGCAGCAAAGTAGCAGAAGTTCCAGTGGGGATATCTATCAATTCTCTGTCCATTAGAACCTTTAAGCCTCAGGTTCTTTCACTGGGTGAGAGAACTGAGTCATTCCCTCTGATTTCTCTCTGGGTCTTCGTGGCTCTTTGGCGGCTCATAAAATCACAAAATCCTAAGGGAACTTAGAGGCCATATAATTCAGCCTCCTCATTTTATAGATGAGGAAACTGGTGAAGTGACTTGCCCAAGGTCATAAAAGTAATGTAGCAGAGGGGGAAGTGAACCCAGGTCCTCTGACTCCAAATCCAGTTTTCTTTCCACAGCACTATGGCATGGACAGCCCTAGAACTACCCCCAATAGTATCTTTTCCAGAGAATTCTCTGCAGCCCACTTTTTCTTCCCTCTCCAGAGATCTGAGCACACATATAGAAGGGGAACCCAAAGAGAGTGACTTTGACATCTCCAAGAGTCCTGATGTCTCTCCCTTATATAGTTTTTAAGCCACTGTCAGTCATTACCAGTAGTTTCTTTCCAAGAGAACATGTCCAGAGGCAGAAGCAAGATGATGGAGTGGCAAAAAACAATGTACCAAGCTCCTACAGACCTAGAAAATGCACCAGATCATATCCTGCTGGGGAAATCCAGGAAAAGCCACAGTGAGTCCTTTGTTTATGCTAAGTTGGCATAGGGAGACAGACAGAAAGGTCTGTGGATACTGGGGCCAAAAGCATGCCACTTGGAGGGCTCTAATGTCCAGGAGACACTGCGCACTAGGGCAAGAGGAGGTCCAAGACCCATACTAGGGCACCCCCAGACCTATACCAGGGCACTTCAACGGGAAGAGCTGCCAAATGATAGCTTTGTCACCCATTACCCAGTTCCAGGTCACAAATCCAGGGTGCACTTGAAGAAGACCTCCACTAGGGATAGTATTCCCAAGGAGAGAAGCCCTCGGTGGTATACTGAGACCAGCAGCAGCAGTGATGTGGCTCAGACTCCAGGCCCAGAATGGGGCCTCAGTTCCAGCATTTAGCCCAGCCTACAGAGGAATAACTAGTGCAGGAATCCCAGACTGAAGGGGAGCCTGTAATTTCATCACTCTGAACAAACAAAACTTTCCAGCTGACTGATGGCAGCTGAGTTCAGAAGCATCTACTGTTATTCAGACTGAATGCTGGGCCAGGGGCTCAAAGAGCTCAGATCAGGGAGGGCAGAAATCAGACTTTCCTCTGGATCAGACCCCTTTGAGAGCATTGAAAATCTGCAATCCCCAGTCTGTCCATGAGAGCCTAGAACAACACAACACTCAATACCCCAAGAAAGCACCAAGGAGAGCAGCCCAGACCTTTCCTCCAGCATCACAAGGAGCCCAGCCCTAACATCAAATCCAAAGTCAGGAAGTCAGTAGGAAGATAGGCAAACAGAAAAAGAATTCTATTGTAACGAATTGTTATGTGGTGGCAGAGACATTCAAGATACAAATCGGGGAGAGAATGGCTCCAAAGCATCTTTTAGCAAAGCCCAAGCCTTGGACACAAACTCAGTTAAAACTTTGCCTGCTTTCCCTGACTGCCTGTGGTTGTCCCAGGAGCCCCGGGTCCCCCTGAATTCCATCTTGTAAGGGTCTTTTGTGAGATTAGAGATCTTAAAGATGATTTTTAACTGAAGCCAGGACACCTCCCACTAGGAGCAGCCAAATACCCAAAGGCCGGGTCACTGCCCTCTCTCAGGGAGGAGTTAGACCTCTAGTCTAAGCTGGCCCACACTGAGCCTGCAGAGAAGCTAAAATGAGGCTGTGGCTGCTGAGTTTAGTGGCAGGGATCATCCTGGGGGTGGCCGGGACCCCCCTGGGAAAAGCCTCAACAGGAAGAGAACGAGCAAAGGAGGAAAAGGTAGGACAGGTACTTGACTGTTGAGGCTGAGGCCCTAGGAGGCATCAGGAACAGAGTGTCTGATGAGGGTGGGGGCTGGCAGGGGGTCAGAAGAGGAATCTAAGGCTGGAAGGAAGGCAGAAAGGACAAGAGAGCACAGGGATCGTCACTTTCTCGCCTTTCTCCATGCCATTTGGGAGAGGAGAGGATCTGGCAACTCCACTAAACATTAACCCAGAAGGTCTAAAAACAAGTTTGTGTTGGAAGCAGTTGAAATGCTCATGAGAGCAGACTGTTAAATTTTCAATGTGAGCATTTATACCTTGGAAATCAGGAAGCACTGCAGATGAGGGTTTGATTTTTCATTTTGTTGAGGGTCTAAACTTAAGAAAGTGATAGAGGGAACATTGATAATGCAAATTAAACTTTAAAATATGTCCTGGTTAACCATTTACCAACTTTAAGCCTCTGGCCTTTGGATCCCTCATGCACACAGCTCTTATCTTCAATAAACCCAAAGTCCTTTCTCCTATGAGAAGGTGCTTGATGTCTATTCCCCACCAACAAGTTATAGGATCTAAAGATTCTGGAAATTGTGACTTCCTATTTCTTTTGACCAGGACTCCCTGGAGCCAAATAACAGATTGGATTAATTTCATTTACCAGAAACTGAAATGGGGAATTTAACTGAATTTTTTGAGCATCTTGAGGAGGTTAGGTGCTACATCCTCCATTCAAGTTGTAGTGCAGAGCTTCATTGGGATATGCAGGGGACCCTGGGTTCTGGAAGGCTGGAAGAACACGCTTCTAACAGGGTGTCCCAAGCTGGAAAGCTTTTGCCCAAATGATGCTCATTTTCTTGAGGACTAACTTTATGAAGTTCAGGGAGTATCATAACCAGAGATTGGTCACCAGGTGGTCAATTTGTTTTGGGGTTTTTTTGTTTTTGTTTTTGGCAACTCAAGAAGATCATATATTAAGGTGTGGAGCTTTCTCTATCTGAAGTGGGAGAGGGATTACTCATACCAATGAAATCCCTGATCTTTGAAATATTGATAATTTTAGCCTAGTATAACATTAGGAGCCTTATTATAATAGCCCAGCCAGGGATCAGAGATGGACCTTTTGGGGTGGATGTGAAGAAAGGAAGTGGAAAAGGGATATTCTAGTTTGGGACAGACTTATAAGAGAATTGATTTCTGTAATCCAGGAGTTCTGAATCCTCTCTCCCCACCACAAACCTTAACTGACAAGTTGAGTCCCCAGGACCTGCCTGGCTACTAAGCCCCTCACAACCTGCCTAGAGCAAATGTCTGACCTAATTGTATGCTAAGGATTCTTCTCTCTGGACTGTATTACTCTGAAGTGATGAAGTTCAACTACTCCCAGAATTAAAAACATAAGCACACCTAGGCAGGAAAGGGGAATCTCTGTGGGGATAGAAGATATCAGATGTCCCCTACTGAGTGAGACATCATTATACTCAAATATGTAATATATCATGTACATGTGATACGTAACATATTAATTATGTAAGTAGTTTATATAATGGTATACAATATTCAATCTATTATAATATAATCAAATGAGATACTTAAAAAGTGCTTAACACAGTGCCTGGTACTTCATAGGCACTGTGTAAATGCTTATTCCCTCTTCTTCCATCTTAAGCCCAGCTGTATCTCAAGAGAAAACATCTCTGTGGAAATAAGGAATTGATGCAAGTATGAGGGTGGGGTAAATAGGGAGGAGCAAAGGTAGAATATAGAATTCCTCCAAAGTTATGAAACTAAGAGCACTGCTGAACCAAACCCAGGACTAGCTAATTATGTAAGGGAAAGAGGAAATGCTGTGGGATATGGGATAAAGTGGGGCTATCCTTCCCCAGGCTCAGAGCTATATTCCTCAATAATTCAACCTCCTACATATGAGACACTATAAGGTTCTAGATTCTCTTTTGACCTTCCTAGAGTGCAAGATCCCTATAAAATTCCAAACTTCATCATTCTGCCTGCCAGTACTTAGTGAGGCCTAAAACCCCTCATTCCCCAAGTCCTCAGAGGTCACTGGATAAACCACAGTGTGGAAACACTCTCAAGCTGGGAAGATCCAGAGGGAGGTGGAAGAAAAGCTTGAATTGCTGAGGAGGTGAACAGGGTACTAGGAAGACAGAAGAAAGTTGTTAGCTGACTTCCAAATGGGCATTTTGCAGTTTTACCTTGCTGAACTCATTACTAGGGAGAAGACAGCGGAACTGGCCCCCCGAGACTGGCTCCAGCTTTCAAACAGGCCCAAATCTCTGCCATCCTTAAAAATCTCTCATTAGATTCTACTATGCCCACTCCACATCTCTCCTCCCCTGCTCAGCTAATCTCCTTTCTTGAAAAATCTATCTGTAATCACTGCTTCTACTTACTCTTCTTTCAACTCCTTAAGCCTTCCACAATCTGACTTCTAATTTCTCTTCTCTCCTAATTCACCAACAATCTCTTGATTGCTTGATCTAAAGGCCTCTTCTCCATTCTCGGTCTTCTTGACCTCTCTGAAGCTCTTGATACTACTCACCACCTTCTCCATCTAGATACTCTCTCCTCTCTTCTCTGGATTTCTGTGACTATTCTCTCCCCCCCCCCCCCCTCTGTTTTTCTTTTACCTGTCTCACTTCTCCTCAGTCTCCTTCACTGAATCTTCACCCATGCCATACTCACCAACTGTGGGTGTTCTCCCCCAGGCTCCACCCCCAAGGTGCCCTTCTTCTCTTTTCTTTCTATACTTTCTCACTTGAGAGTACCCATGATTGCCCTCTCTAGGCTGATTATTCCTAAATCTAGTTATCCAACTCTTGTCTCTCCTAAGGTCCTTCCCACCGCACCAACTGCCTGGTGAACACTTTGAGCTAGAAATCTGCTAGATATCTCAAATTCAAAATGTACAAAGCAGAATTTATCTTCCACCCTTCCTCCAACTCCCCCCTCTTCTGAATTTCTCTATTATTGCTAAGGTCAACACTCAAGTTTAGAACCTTGTCATTATCCTCAAGTCCCCTCCCCAAACACTTCAATGTCTGAACAGTTGCTAAATCTTGTCATTTCTTTCTCTACAACAGCTCTTGAATAACTCTCCCTGTCCTCATACAACTATCATCCTAGTTCAAACTCTCATCACCTGTTGACTGAACACAATAACTTTCAAATTGGCTTCCCTGCCTCATGTCTCTCCCCACTCTGATCCAATTTCCAGAGAGCTGCCAAAGTGATTTTCCTAAGATATATATCTGGCAATGTCCTACCCCTACTCAATAAATTACAGTGACTCCTTCTTGCCTCTGAGATTAAATACAAAATCCTTCAACATTTGAAGCTCTTTACAACATGGTCCCTTCCTACATTTCCAATCTTCTTACATTCTACTTTCTTCCATGCATTCCACAGTTCAGCCACACTGACCTACTTGCTGTTCTTTGCACAGGATACGCCATTTTCCATTATCAATGTCTTTATACTGGCTGTTCCCAATGCCTGGAATGCTCTTTCTTCTAAATTTTGACTCATAGAATCCTTGGTTTCCTTTAAGACTCTGGTCCAGTGCCACCTCTTCCAGGAGGTGGTTCCCCCTTTCTTCCTCCTTTCCTGGTCCTTTTATCATTTAATGCCATCCCTTCTAAAATTACCCTCCTTCTACTATATATTTATTTTGTATGTTCTAATAGGTATATGTGTGTATGTGTGTGTATGCATCTTTGTGTATACATGTATATGTGTATTTCTATATACGTGTATGCATGTTTGAATATATACATGCATATACTTTCTTATGTGTCTAGTACATAAATACTTAATACATGCTTATTGGTGAATTGCTTTTCTTTCTTTTATGCATATTCACAGTAAACACTAGAATTTATTTCCTTTCATGTTAACCTGCTTTCCTTTCATGGGGTATAGGAAGTACCAAAAAGACAAGGGGCAGAGGTGCCAATGACTCTGTCACCAGAGTTGGTAACCCCTTTAGCGTAGTGACTATCTACAATGCCTCTCATATGTGTGCATATGCAAAGAGAGAAAGAAGCGAAAGTGAGGGAAAGAGAGAGAGAAGATGGAAAAAATAGAAACACAGAGAGAAAAGAAGAGGAAGAAGGAAAAGTATAGGGGGAGAAAGAGGTGAAAGGGAGAGAGAGCAGAGAGAAAGAGACAGAGAGAAAAAGGGAGGGAGGAAAGAAGGGAGACAGAAAAAGACAGAAACAGAGAGGAGATAGAAGAGTATGTGTATAATCAATCAAAAAAACATCAATGCTCTTTTAAGCGTTCACTATGTGGCAGGCAATGTGCAAGGTGCCGAGGTTACAAAGACAAAAATAAATCTTTCCCCTCAAGGAGCTTACATTAACTCAATTCAACAAACTTTGATTGAATGTCTACTGTATGCCAGGCATCCTGAGGAGTTTTTGGGGGACAAGGATTCACTCCTCCATTTTTGGTGCTGAATCTGATGACCAGTGGGAAAATAAATGGAAGTTATCATTAAGCTTCTCTGTGACTCATACTCAGGGGCCCCACAATCCCCATACATTATAACATGTGCCCGACCTCTACCTCCATTCTCTATTCCTACAGAACAAGCTCAAGAAAACAAGGAGAGACTTCTTTGTAACTGGTGCTTACTCAGGAATAACTGAATTAAGTTTGAAAATGGGTGAAAAGTCAAGGAGGGTTAAAGGTCATAATAGAGGTTGAGGAATTGGGAAAGAGTTATGGATGATGGGGTTGGAGAAGGGCAGACAGTGGGGGAAACCAGAAACCATGAGGAAAATGGAGATTGCTGGGCACTAGTGCGGAGACCAGAGTTCAGTCATCCATCTCTCAGAGCTTGAGCCACACATCCCAAAATGAGCTGTGCCCCAGGAGTTTGGCCCTAAGAATGTAGAAAGTAAGGTAAAGTCTCTATTGTGTGCTTGGGGGCTGGCAGTAAGATGGCAGAGCTGAGACTACGGTTTAGAACAATACCCATATACTGCCATGGGA